AATGAATCATCTTCACCAGTCATGGGACAGGGGGGAAATGTCTGACTTATGTATGAGAAAGAAAGATATGAAACTGAGTGGGTACATTTTTTTTTTCTGCAAAAATTTTAAAAGATTAGTTTTATTCTGAAAGCATGTTGCACATATGTGCATCTCTTTCTAGCAATAACCTGTAGGCATGGCTCAGAAGTATCCAAAACACAACTGTAGGCATCCAGAAATTCCTTGTCAAATTTCACTGCCAGTTTTGTATGCAGTTCTCTGGAATCAGCTACTGGATTAATTGTCCCAACAAACGGGAAGATATATCGCCAAATTCAGCTTTTGATAAACAGGATAAGATGGACGTTATGTAGAGAAGAAATGCGATTCATATATATTTTTGTTCGCTTATGAAATGACTTCAGCTTATGCCTTGAATAGCATATGTGCTGAAACTGTCATCTTACATCTTCCCTCTCCTCCCACCTGTTGCAAAAAGAAAGACCAAAACCAGAATGAGTATTAACTACGATTATTCACCATATTTAAAAGCTCTACAACTTGGCAAGAATGTTTGCTAAACTGAGGTTCAGTAAAAAAGTTAATGGGACTCCTGGGTATATTTTATTAGGGAAATAAATGTCCTGAGTGCAGCAGTAAGCCATCTGAAAGATTTTGGTGGAGCTTTATTACCCTGCCCTGTGTTTTGAAACGAACCACAAAATTCAATGTGAAATCAATCCTGAGGCATAATTTACCTTGTGTACATTGCTATTTCTCTGCTCGTCCATGGCCTCAGTCCCTGACTTTTCCAGCATCTCTGTAGTGCCCTGAATCTCTAGATGATGATGCAATGGACACATGGCTTTTTATTTATCATAGGGAAGTTGGCTGAATCCACCCCATTCCTGCAGTTGGATTGCAATAGACAGCTGGATAACTGGAAAACTTTCAAAGATTCACTGAATTGTTTTCATACAAAGTTTTGGTGTCAGAGAGATGGGGTGTGTGTGTGTGTGTGTGTGTGTGTGTGTGTGTGTATGTGTGTGTGTGTGTGTGTGTGTATTAAGCAGCCACTGCAGAAAATATCAAAATAAATGAGACATTAATTAGTACGAGATTACACAAAACCCAACATGGAGATGTCCCATCTAAATACTTCAAAATAGTTGATCAAAATGGGTCAGAATAATTGGATAATTATCTATTAATGGGATAATCATCCTATTTTGAAAAGATTAAAATAAATCTCGGAAAGAGCAAAACACACCATCTCTAATTTCCTTCTTCTGTTTTTCCCTCAAATCCGACTATCTTCACGAACAATTAGGTAAAGTTCTAAGGCTACACTTAATTATATTTACTGCAGGTTGACTGTTATTCCTATTTTATATACCACAACTGAAAACTGTCTGGACTTTGCATATCAACACGCCTAACCTCCCTTTTAAAAAAAATATTTAGGCTTTTCTTTGAAGCCTGAGTGCTTAAAATGAGTTCAAACTTGCCGTTTGAGCTATATAGAGTCTCAAACCCTAGCTTGTAAATTTAGGACTAAGCTGCAAATGTCAGAAGCAACAGATTTAGGAAAACATAATGAGCAGCCGTCCAGGTCTTTTTGGAGGTAAATACTGTACAAACCATGTACGTATAAAAGTGCACTCTCTCTAGAAAGATGGGGCCACAACTTTCCTTTGGGAAGGGGCAAAGCCATCTGGAAACTTCCCCCATCATGGCCTCTCAGTGTATCCCAGGCCACCTAAGGGCATGCGTGGGGACAGTGACCTTTGGCAGGCCCGGGCCACGCTGGGAACACACTTTCCAGAAAGAGGGCATTCTGGCAGTACTCCCTGTGTGGTCAACCAAGTTATTTAGGAGGAAGTGCAAGCTTCGGGGTGCACGCCCCCCGCCCCATTCAGGGCCACAGAGATGTCCCCTCGTGCATGAGATCACAGCCTGGGAGTTTATCAAAACGAGCAAATCCCAGAAAACCGCTGAAAGGGCTCCTCTGGTGATACCATCAGGTTTGAGACACTGAAAAAATGTTCTTCCCTCAAATCCATCCCAACCTCTCCCCAGTAAATCCCAGCACATCAGCAGTTCTGCATTGCTGGACAGCCGGCCCAGTTAGAAGCACGCTCTCCATCTACAGGTCAAGACCCAAAGTGCATGGCTGAGATGTGGGCAGAAAGACGCCCGAGGCTCGTTTCAGAAAGGAAACCTCCCCAGTTCCTACATCAGCAATCGTGATGCATGAAACATGGAAACAGCCTCGCCCCAGAATTTCCTCTCTGAGAAACTTAGCATGGAACTATGGTTTCTCAAGATTTCACAGCAAATGAGTTAAAAAAAAACACAAAAGAACCCTCAGGCTTTGGATCAAATGTCTTTGCTAAAGACTGACTAAAACTAATTAAGACCAGTATGACAGAATATTTAACGTAAAAGCATCTTATGCTCTGTAAGCACCAATCTGCATAATAATAACCGCTCCATGTCTAGAGTGTATTTATAAAAAGCACAAATATAGGAGTAAAACATCTTTAGATGTAAACACTCAAAACAAAGCTAAGTTTCTAGTATTTTTTCCACCACCTGGGAAGAGATTTTTTAAAATAATTAAATAAAAGGTGGTGCTGTGAATTACCAGCTATGTTTCTTCTGATTCCTATAAATCAGTTATATTGAGTTTCAGGTGGAAACCTGGCTTGTTTACTAATCTCGGTCTACTTTTAGATCCCAGTAATGATTTGTTTGTTTGGTTGGTTTTTGGCTGCACCTCACAGCATGCGGGATCTTAGTTCCCTGACCAGGGATCGAACACGTGCCCCCTGCAGTAGAAGCATGGAGTCCTAACCACTGGACCACCAGGGAAGTCCCCCATAATGATTTCTTGGGAGTCATCTAGAATATGGCTTATTACGATTATGTGTTACTGTCTTTCTTAAGGTATCCACTCTGGGGAAGTCTTAACTTTCACAGTTGAAAACTAGTAAAATCAGACAGGATGGTGACTTGAGCCCTGCTGGGCATCACTGTCAGCTCTGGAAAGCTCTTCCTCTCACGTCCAGTTGAAAGAATTCCTAACATAACGTCGCATGTATTCTACAGGACAACAGGCCCAGAGTCCCTTCAAGATTCAGAGGGGACGCATAATTTGACACCTCGTACCTGCAATCTGCCACACACGGACCAGCTTTCCATGTGCGTCAACCCAGAAACAGTAAACACGTGGTGACACCATCTTTTCACCTTCCCTGCATCCTCCTCACTCCACGGGAGAAAGCAAAGGGCACAGCTCAAGGAAAGATACAGAACAGAGAAGTTTATTTTACACTATCCGTCCAAGAAAACAATCGCCGTAAACCAGTGCAAAATGTGTAACAGAATCCATGTGTGTCTTGGCTCTGAGAGCCCGAAGTGGTGATTTCCTCTCCCGCTCCTCCGGCCGACAGGTGCCCCTCGGCGAACGCCGGCCTCAGTCTGCACCATCGGCAAACATTCAACCCATCTGTAGCAGGTTATTTTTACAATTCATACCAGAATGTGTACAAGGGAGGGGAAAACCATACCGAATGAATAAGTGATCAGTGCTTAAAGTAAATACATGGGGCGGCACGGGCAAGAATCCACAGTTTCAATAAATACAAGTATAACAAGCATGGGTGGGTCTCAGCTCGGTGGAATTATCTGCGTTAATAATCCAGCATCAGACAAAACCTAGCAGGGCTGCTGAGCAGTGATTGGCAACAACGTCCACAATAACTTATGCCCTTGAGCGAGTCTGCACTGAACACATTCTGCGGTTTCCAAGGTGTCCAGTTCTCTTTTCTCCTTCCTGTGCCTCCCGCCCGCCCCACCCCCGCCGCCCCTCCCGGAAGGGAGCGGTGGAGCTGGGACTGCTGGGCGGCGGCGTCCCGAAGTTAGAACGCTGGCCCTAGAGCCAACGGTCAGGGTCCAGTGTACTCAGTACCGAGGGGCCACGTCTGTGCAAAGTGCGCGTCTCTCCATTTCCCAAGAAACCAGTGTCTGTACCTCCTGCGCGTAAAGCGGTGTTGGCCTCTGGGTCACTCCCTGTCACCCCAAACACCAAGCAAAGAGAGCACATCTCAGGGACTCGCAGGCGGGGAAGCTCCTGCCGTTGGCTGCCTAGCGCTCTCGGAGGGAGAGGTTAACCGGGGCCCCGAGTCAAAGGCCTCTGGCAGGCAGGCAACAACTATTGCTTGAGAGGCTAGAAGGAACCTGGGGAGAGAGTGATGGTCCAAATGGACAGGTGGGCAGCTATCTCCTTCCCGTAAAACCCTGCGCCCCAGGGAAGGCCTGCAGGGCTTGGCGGAGACCCCCGGGGGTGACGTGTCACGCCTTTGTCCCAGGGCCTCGCCAGCCACTCCTCAGATCAGCACTAAATCCATACAAGCTCCAAAGCGCCTGGGACTACCCCAGAGGACGCAGCTGGGACACCCGTGGGTCATCGACGGACCCAGAGCTCAGTGAAAGAAGATGCAAGAAAAACTCTCAATCTCTGGAAGCAAAGGAAGAAAAAGGGGGATCCCCCAAAGCCAAACAGCGCCCCCAGACCCAGTAACCTAGGAATCAGCGCCAAATATAAGGAAATCCCAAACACTCCCTACCATCAATGGACCCTCTCCTCTCTCTCCTTCCACAGTCTAGGGTCATAAATTAGGCTAGTCTTCCATCCGATAACTTAAAAAAGGACGAGGGATGTACTCAGTTTTGCCTGGCTTGGGCCAGTTAGCAGCCAGTTTTTCTAGAATCTCAGTCACTGTTCAAAAATGGAGCTTGAAAATTCACGCGGGTGTCGGAAGTCTTCACGCGGAGGAGGCGGGAAGGCGGAGCCGGGGGCTGGGGGCATAGGCGGGGGGGGGGGGGGGGGGGGGGGGACCCGAGGGCGGGAGCGGAGGCCGGTGGGCAGCGCAGAGACCACGCCGCGGGGCCAGACTCGGGCGCCGGGCTCGTATTGCACAGAAGGAGGGGCCGCGGCTGGCGGCGGCCGCGGGTCAGTGGTCCCCGCACATGGGCAGGTTCACGAAGGTGAACACGTTGAACTCAGTCATGATGGAGAAGCACAGGAACACGCCGTATAGGAAAAGGCACCCGCACCCGAGCTTCCTGTCCAGCTGCCACTTGTTCAGGTGGACGCCAAACACCTGCAAGGCACAGAGCGGGGTCAGAGGGCGCGGGGCGGGGCCCGCCCAGTCCTTCTCCCTGGACTCCGCCCCCCCTCCCCGCCCCCGGCTCCCTAAAGCCGCGCGCCAGGTTTCCCCCCTGTCTCCCCGATGGCAACCCCTTTGTTCCTTTTGCGACCCTGTCCCCTCGTCCTGACCTCTCACTGTCCGAGGGCGCCGGGACTCACACCTAGGCCTCACTTTCCTGTCTACGCTCACTCCGTTGCGGGTCTCCTCCAACTCCTCAGCTCTGAACCCCTCCAATGTTCCGGCGTGTCCAGCGTGGGATTGCTCCTGAACTGGGACTCGTCTTTCCAACGGCTGTCCAGACCTGTCCCCTTGGATGTCAGATAGGCGCTGCAGACTTCAGATGTCTGAACTCTTCCTCCCCAAACCTACTTCTCAACCCTTCAACAACCCAGCTTGGACAGCTGCTCAGTGGTGAACCCGGTCTCCCAGCATTGCAGGGCTTCAGTGAAGCACATGGATGCCCCGAAGCTAGGAGCGAGCACTCCGACGTCACACACAACTTCCCTACCGGCCTGGGTAATGGGGCTGATATCAGTGAGTACCTCACGGGGTGGGGTGGGGGGTTGGTGAGCTCCAGATGGGAGAATATGTGCATTAAGCACAGTGTGTGGCCATTACAGGTATAACCCTAAGTTATACCCACCTGAAGAAAATCCTAAACGGCAAAAGAATGGATTTATATGGGTTTTCACGTTTGTGTAAGGCAGTATTTACTTTGGTAAAACCTTGACACTGGACTTGCATCCTGATGCTGTAAATCACTTCTCCTGCCCTTCTGAATTCCCGTTCCCTAGTATATGTATGTTCACATGCCAGGTGTGGTTCAATGAGTTCTTCCTTGAAAAATTCAGGAGAAAACACACTGCGTCTCTTATTGTGAAAATTCAGTAACATACGAGTATGTCAACAGGCACTTCAAGTGGATCAGTCCGTGTGGTGGTGTGAACTTTTTCCCACCAAATGTGTCAGCTGAGTTGGAATATTAAATCGTTCAAATGGATGTGATGGCCAAGGTAGTGCAGTGGCATAAAAAAAGTGCACTGTCAATCAAGTCTGTTCTCAGTCTCTGAGTACTGCTCAAATCCATGGATTTATGAAGATGTTTAGTAACCTGGAATCGTCAGTTAATTGGGATATAACCTTCCGTCGACTAATCTTGCAGAAAAAGTGGGATCTCCCTTTGGCTTTTGATAAAAATTTGTGTTTGACATGAGATGGACCCAGCTTCTGAGAGGAGGCTGGCTCCTTTCAGAGAGGGAGAAGGCTTTCTCATGGGTTGCCAGGATCCACTTCTGGAAGAAACAGCCATGAGATGGGGCATCTGGTGGCTGACTGTCTCCATCCACCAGAAGGCCACGCCCATCTGGTGTCCGAACAAACTGTAGCCACAGAACCCACGGGGGTGGGGGTGGGGGAACATGGGAACTGGAGAGTGGAGAGAGCTGCAGACCCACCGTGACAAAGACGGAGGCCAGGAGCAAGCCCACGGAGTAGATCAGTCCCCTGCTGTTTAGCCGAATCTGTAAGAAAGGATGACATGGAGTCAGGCTCCTGAAAGCATGTCTGCGGAGTGTGGGGCAGTGAGTACCAGTGAGTCCAGGGATGGAGAGCAAACGGCAGCTCCGCAGTAGAGACGGGCGATTTCCTGGACACCCAAGGTGCACCCTTGTCTGGTCCATCCTCAGCCTGATCCCTCTCAGCCTCCAGCAGGTGTCCACTGACTGCCCCTCGGCCACTTGAATTCTCCATCCTGTGTGGCCTAATTCTCATTTCCTGGGGACCTGACCTCCAGCTTGCTCGACACACAACTTTTAGGGTAAATTTAATAACATGGGTCACGGGAGCAACATTTTGAAAAATATTACTAAACTTTTTATCTCTGTTGCATTCAAATGTCTGTGACCTTCACCCAAACTTGATGGGAAGTGGTGAGTGAGGGCTGCTATCTTGAACAAGCAAAGAAGAGGAAAGAGTTAACATTCCATTTCTGATATTTTGTTTCGTTTTTTTTTCACAGTAATACAGTGGGGTTAACTGGCAAACTCTGAAGAAAAAAACCAATTTCTGGAATTCTTAGGGAACAGCGTTGCCCAGTACAACTTCCTGCAATGACGGAAATGTCCTACATCTGTGCTGTCCAGTATGGTAACCGTTAGGGACACGGGGCTCTTGAGCACTTGAAAGGTGGCTCAAACAACAGAGGAACAAAAATTTTAATCTTACCTTTAATCAATTCAAATTTACATTAGAAGAACCACATATGAGTAGTGGCTGCAGTACTGGACAGAGCAGATAGAGAGTATTAAGGGGCCAACCGGGCCGACAAAGATGGTAAAGTTTCTTCCATGGTGTCGAGAAGATGCCCCTTCTGCTTTGTCCTGGGTCCTGAGGCCGGCTGCCTGGAAATAGGAGGGGTGCCTCGGGGCAGCCGTGCTCACAGGGCGCCCCCCTGACCAGAAGCAGCAGCATCACCTGGAGGCTTGTTAGAAACACAGAATCTCAGGCCCCACCCAGACCTCCCAAATCAGCAAACTCTGGGGACAGGGCTCATCAACCTGTATTTTAATAGACGCTCCAGACAATTCGGATGCAGGAGAAAGTTTAAGAGAAAGTCCTAAGGGTCAATCCACTTCTGACCTCCAAGCGTCCTGAGGATGGGACTTTGACATTCATTTTTCCCCAGTTCTCTTGGAAACTCTTATGTGCAGCCAGGTTGGGGGACTACTCCCGACCCCCAGCAATGTACAGTGTCCTGCTGGGAGTCAAATGCTCACCTGTGCTCACAGAAAGGAAAATGAGGCAGGTTGATTGATTTCATTACAGAACTAAGTGGTGATTATTAGTAGGAGTGGTTTGGACAAGGTTCAAGGTGCCTCTTGCCGCCCTTGCCCCAGTTCACCCCCAGGTGTGGGTATGGTAGCCTGTGGGTGTCTCTATAGATGGGTGTGTTAGTTCATCTTTAGGTGACAGGACACTGCATGCCCTAAATAGCCAACCCTTTCTGTGGGGACCCAGAAGCCTAACACATCTCACTAAGCAATGTTCTGTTGGAGGGAATGGGCAGGACTCTCCCCTGCCCACACAATCCCTGTGAGCCAACCATCTGCTGAACCCCAGCTGGGAAATTATTCCCATACCATATGCCTCCCGAAGACTAATGGACACAAATCATATCTCCGTGCCACTAAAGCAATGGGTTGACCCGGTGAATCCATCGCAGACAAATGGGAGATCAGCCCCATCTCAGTCCAGCTGGTAGCGTAACTTCCTGCAGACCCTCAGCCAGGCTGTGGATAGAGTTTCCCCCTCTCATCGGCTGTGTTAGTATAAAGAGGCCAGCACCCAGGCGTACATCACAAATGACTTGTACTGAAAGAGAGTCTCTTCTGAGCTCTTAATTCTCAACACTGTGTGGATTCTTCCATGAAGGGGGCCATTGCATTCCCAGCCCAGCTCGCCCTATGAGCTCCAGGCTCCAATCCTTGTCAGCAACAAGGATTGAGTAAAGTGATTTCCTGCCCTTAAGAAACCAAAAGCCAGTGAGAGGAAAAGGCAAAGCAGGACAGTTCTCTTTGGCCAAGGCTTTTCAAAAGGAATCAGGTTCAACCAAAGCTTTGGAACCTCACCCTGTCTACATTCACATAAAGTCTCAAAGAACAGTGCTGCTGAAATTGTAAGTCGTCTCTAAAGACTAAAGACAACGAACTTTTGTGGGGTTTCTGAGTATTTTTCACTTTTTCACCTTTTTCTCTGCAGCTTTCTTGGCTAATGGACTACCACACACACCCAGGGGTGTATTTTTGTTTTTTCATTGTTAATTAGAGACCTGGGCTCTCGACGCCTGCATCGGTTCCTTGCTACCTCACTGAACCCCCTTCCCCATGGACGTGACAGTCAGGAATTAGGGTTCCTTCACTTGCCTCTGCGCCAGCATGAACACCTCCAGCCACTGGAGACTATCGGTGGTTGGAGTCAGGGGTTGGCAAATGCAGGCGATGGGCCAGTTGTGGCCCATCGCCTGCATTTATAAATAAAACTTTATTATAACTCAGCTTATTCATTGACACATTGTCTGTGGCTGCTTTCATGCTACAATGGCAGAGCTGAGTAGTTCTGACAGAGACGGTATGGCCCACAGCACTTAATGTATTTCCTCTCTGGCCCTTTCTGGAAAAAGTGTGCCGACCCCTGGTTTAGGGCATGGGCTCCAGACCCAGCTTCCTGCTCAGTCACCCACTCGCTATATAATCATGGACAAGTGACTTAACTTCCCCAGACCTCAGTTTTCTGATATATAAAGTGGGGACGATACAGTTCCCACCTTAGGGAGTGGTTATGACTACTAACTGAATTAATCCATGCTAAGCTTGAATAGGAGCCGGTGTATAAAGTCCTCAATAAATCTGGGCCATTATTCTCCATCCACTCGTGATCTGCCTGGGCCCACTTCCCTGGCTCCCCAGATGCTACTTTGATACAGTCGTCACCTGGCAGCTCCCTGGTCAGTGCCTCAGTAGGTGACAAACCCCATGAGAGCAGGGACCATGGCATTTCATCCTCCGCCCGGCACGGGGCTGGGCACAGACCACGTGCTTGATACATAATCGGTGAACGATCAGGAATGC